TTTTTTTCATAATCTTAAATAACAGAAAATGTATACATGTTTTGTAATTTAATAAATAGTTTGGGAGATCCTAGTGGTTACACCTTAAAGGTAACCATCACATACAGAAAATTGAAAATGTTTATGTATTACTTGAAATATAACGTCCTAAAAATATCACAATATTGTGTGCCTGCATTATAATGGTTACAAGAGAGAAACTTTATTTTTCAAGATATTTCAACCATGTTAGCAAATTTTTTTATCGACCCAAGTGTAGGAAATAAGTCTGTTCGAGAATCGATGACCGGCGATGACGCTGAAGCCGATTGACTCTTATCAGCGCTCACATGCTTTGCTCTGCATTTTTCTTGTTTTGGCTTTCGTCACGTCTTAGTTTAAGAATGTTATTAAGGAATCGAGATTCGAGAACGGGGATTCATTATAAAGAGAGCGTTAGACGTAGGCATATGTATTGTGCATATATTGAATATATATTTTTTTACATGACAAATACTTATTTCAATAAAAGTGAACAAATTTTATTAGATATGGCTAACACTACTTTCCGCAAAGACAGCATTCTCAAAAGCTGGCACAATGATTAGTATACGAGAGGCGTGCGTATCGTAGTAGGCTATAATATAAATTAAGGTGAGCAATCATTACGTCATCGTGAAACGCTTACCGTTTTACAATTTCACAATCTGGGGGGGATCAGTTAGAAATCTACACCATCAGTTTGTTTGTACAATTGTTTCAAAGAAACGTTGACCTTGATGACTAAATGTGTGTCGGCTGAATATTGGCGCCAATTGACAACTGACCGATTGGGTCAACTTTATTCATAAGTATAAAAGTATATCAGCTTAATATTTATAAAACAATATATAGTTTAGTTTATAGACTGTTTAGTATTAAATCAGTCTGCGGCATCTCCTTGATATCTCTTGAACGTTACACATGTCAAAGACACAAAAATAAAGCAACAAACACCACGTATAAATTTAATGTGCTCAATTCCATGCATTTAGCTGTTAATCAGGGACATCAGGGTCCTTAATAATTTGTACCAAATTCCATAAATAAAAAAAAATCAAAGGTATTATGCTCTAGAAATATGTTTTTAAAAAAACATTAAAATATGTATTTAAATAAGTTCATGTATAAAAAAAATTTTTTGAAAACAAGCCTTTAGTGTCACCATGCAATGTTATCCAAACTAAACGTGTATGCAAAATTTCAGCTCAATCGATTGGGGATAACTGTTTTTGACCCATACTAACAAAGCAAGTTAAATAAAAGCTTGTAAAAACTACCTAAGCCTTGAAACGAAACAATTAACTTGCAGATGAATTTGTTTAAAAATAAAATTATTTTAACGAATAAAAATATTTCCTAAAAATAATCAGTTTCTAAGATAACAATAAAAAAAATAATAATTAATGATATTTTAGATAATCAAAATATTACTAAAATCTTTTAATTTTAGGTAGCAGGTCATATTTTCTTTATTTTGTATAAAATGTTCATCTCCAATGTTTATTTGGTAATTAATATTATTTTAACACTTTTTTTTTAATACTATTTGATACTTATGAAATGCAGTGCAATACATTTTTTGGCTGATGTCAACATTTCCATAAAAAGTCTCAATTTTTGGAGATAATCGATACACCCAATATTCATACCCAAATCACGTTTAGAGTTCATAAATCAGTGTTTTGTGTATTTTAAAACAAAACAGAATTTTTGAAATATATCGTGAAATAAAAATATGTACTATCTTCTTGTATCACCTCAGCAGTGACACACTTTATACCTGAAACAATTAAATATGTTTTCTTCTCAGGTGGGACTTCATGAATTATTAGGCCATGGCTCAGGAAAATTATTGAGGAAAGAATCTGATGGATCTCTTAACTTTTCTCCAACATTATTAGACCCTCTTACCGGAAGACCACCTGCATCCTATTATGAACCTGGCGACACGTATGATACAAAATTTGGCCCTCTTAGTTCTTCTTATGAGGCATGCTGGGCAGAAGCCGTTGGTTTATACCTCAGTTTAGATCCTGATGTTTTAAAAATATTTGGACATGAAGGTAATGAAGCTGAAGAAGTAACCTACGTTAATTGGTTGTCTCTGATTTGGGCAGGAGCAGGTAGAGGCTTAGAGCAGTGGGAACCTGGACGAGGTTGGTTACAAGCACATGCACAGGTACAGATTCAGTTGTAAATACATAATGACCTGATATACAGTATCTTAGCCAAGATCAATTGTACTATACCCATCCGCCTTATTAATTTTAGAAAAAATGACCCAGACAAAAGTTGCTTCAATTTTATCGTAAAGATAGTTTCAGTTATTCAGAGAGTTTAGTTTGGCCCATATGCTACACAACTTGGATGTTTTAAATGAAACAATCTGTTATTACATTTTTGGATTAATCCTTCACTATTAACAAGACTGTGTAACATACTTCATATAATATCTCGTATTTGAGTTATTATTCAGTCAATCAGAAGCAAAGATACTGGATGACATTATCACTAAGAATCCCAAAACTTCGAAGCCGGTATTTTTGAAATTAGATAATTCCTGTTGTTATTTCAAAGACAGAAGCTGTATTAAAAAAATTAATAATATTTGAGTTACTCTTAAAATACAAATTAAGCTTATCACGCATTTGAACAAATGTAAAATAACTAAAACTATTAATTTTCCAAAAAAATGTTTAGCAGTTTTTTATTCAAAACACAATTTTAAATACAGCATCAAATGTCAAAAAAAATTTCTGATGGTTACACTATGTAAAATTATATTTCAAAGAAACAAAAAATGTCTATGCATTTTTATTTTGTGAAACCTATAATTTTAAAGATGTTTAAATTTATTTAGTTTATTTTGAATTTAAAAAATAATAGCTCAAAAATAGCTCGTTTTTGAAACTTAATTTCTTAGAGACAATATCAAAATTAAATGCACTTAGTAGAAAGGTAGACAAGTCCAAATTCATAGATCTCACATTTTACTTATCCTTGTGACATTAGGGCCATAAGACGCACATAGCAGATTACACATTATTTTTCAGACTAGAGACCCTTCACAATTCCTCAGCTGTGTGTAATAAACAGGAATGTATTTAAAATTTTTACAGTTTGAAAATCGTGTTCGATAAGATTCAGAATGAAACAGTGCAGGTTTTACATGGACAAATATTTCTTACAATAGTTACTTAAGTTTTTATAGTTCTCTAAAAAAATGAATAAATACGTAATCTACTTGCATACCAAGTTCCTTTCTTCTGTTGCTAGAAGCCATCAAATTTAATAAAAAAAAACATTCAAATAACTAAAAAGCTTTGTATGACAAATGAAATTTGCTATTCTAATACTTCTGTAAACGTCACATTTGTGCATAAAAATGGGTATAAGCATTCCCAAAAATATCCTTAGCAAATATCCTCATATTTTTTTGCAGGTAACATTACAACTTTAATTCTTATTTTATTTTACAGGTAAGGTTTTTTCAAGTTTTTTCTCTATTCCTAAAGGTTTTTAAATAGTTCATTATTTTATAAATCATCACCAATGTCAATACAAATCCTTATTACCATTCTTTATTATGTTTACTTTACAAGATACTGCAAATACCTCAGATTCCATATCCCAAATTCTTAAATTCACCAAAAAAAAAATTGCGTAGAGCCGAACAGAGCAAGTTGTATTTCGAGCAGTAAAGTACATTTTGAGGAACTCCATCCACCCCAAAAATGGCTACTACGTGAATTAATGCCTATTTTGTTGCTATAATGAATGTATCCCTTTTAGCGCTAGTTGTTTTCATTGTATTTTCCAGTTCCTTATCTTTACTGAATTAATGCAAAGCTGCTATCACGTATATTATTTCTTGTATATTAATTTAATAAGTTTTCTCAAATGATTCTTTACATTTTTTTTTGTGGATTTGTCGATTTCACTCTATTTACTTTTATCGTTGTTATTATTTCTCACTCAACGCTTACAGTATCATGGTCATATTATCCTCGTTTTTCAATTGTATTTTGTGATCTAATAGTGAGTTTTATTATTTTCTGATAAGGATTGGAGTGTTGTTACAACTATAAGATGGTGATAAAGTTAATAGTAAATGTGCTGCTTTGTCAGTCTAAGACATTTGTGCACCAGCAGCAAGTAATTCCAGTATCTACCTATTCATGAAATGGTAAAATTGTTTCTTTATTGCTAATTGAGAAGGAATACTTTTCTTTCATAAATACCATCATGATAATTAACAATATTTTTTTCTTAAGGAAAATTAAGAAAACTATCTATCACTTTATTGGCTTGTTTTTCTTTTTGCCAATCTAAATACCATTTTCCAACTTCCATCCATAATTTCGAATAATTCACTAACAATAACTTTTAAAATGCCCATTTCATCTAATAAAGTACAAATTTGTTTCTTCCAAATGCTATAATATTGTCCAGTAAAAGGTCCATATATTTTATTTGTTCTATGTGCATACACTAGTTAGTTATTGTCTCACAGATTGTCAGTAGTTAATATTAATAGATTCGCTTTACTCAGACCATGATTGAAAAGAAAAACAAAATTAAAGCAATATCAATTTATTATCTACTGTTAAATAATAATCATATGAAAATTTTAGTTACTCTTGAAAAACAAAAGTCTGACATATTATTATTATGATGTTCGTTTTTCTGTTGTAGTTACTAAAAGTTGTCAATAAAGAATAAACGTATTCGTTTAAGAATTTTTTTGCTTTAAGAAGTTTTTGCTTTAATATAACTTCAAAATCTACTAGCATTTATATAATTCATTATATCTAACAAAATTGACTACATATATTCAATAAACTCACCAACAGCTAATTAGGTCATCTAGGCTCTAGAATTTAATAATAATACTGTCAGCGTTTTTGTTATAAACTGTATTAACTTAAATCAATTTCAAAGTTCTAACCACTTTTTAAATATTAAACACCAAAAATGGTTATATTGTTATCATAGGCGTAGCTACAAATTTTGCTTGAAAATAAAAGCGACTTACCGATATGATATTTGAACACGTTCTGATTTGATTCTAAAGAAAAACGCGGTCACCGACTTACCGATATGACAGATGATAATAAACGATCTCGCAGTCACTGACTTGAAGATGATAATATTAGATCCTTTTTTCTGGGGTGGGCCGTGCACACCCCTGCCTCCCTCCCCCCTAGTTATACCCATGATTGTTATATTTCGTTGTTGATCACGCCAAGGGGCGTAAGTACCAAAAATGCTATTTGAATAATTTCTCAAGAAAACCACGTAAAGAAAAATCATTATAAATGACTTATGTAGTATGTGAACTGGATATCGTGGTACTAATATAGGTATATATAATATATACTTTCATTATCCTAAGGACTTAATTCAAAAAAGGTCCTCTTGTTAAATTTCACTAGGATGTGCCGTTTTCCAGTTAAATCGATTTCAATCATTCCCAACGTGATCCAAATTCAACTTTCATTACATAGCGAAATAAATTAATTGCAGTGTGCCATGGGGAAAACAACTAGTCTGACAGTTAACAGAAATGTCACGTATTTTTAGTTTCAAATTTGTGTCATTTGAGTATTCGCAGTGCCGTTTTATAGTAAATAAAAATATCAAATAATTTAAAAATGCAACAGTATACATTTTCTGAGTATGTAGATATGCTTTTGACGTTAGGTGAATGTCATGGAAGCGCAAGAGCAGCCGCACAACGATACGGTGAAAAGTTCCCCAACAGAAATGTGCCCAATTACAAAACATTTCTTTGCACAGAAAGGCGTTTGCGAGAACGAGGTACGTTAAAAAGGAACAATTTTGAGAGAGGCAGGCGTAGAATAATTAGAAATGTCCTGAATGAGGAAAATATTTTAAATTTAGTTGAAGCTAACGCCACACTTAGTACAAAACGACTATTAGTTCAAAATAATATGTCTCATATGACAGTATGGAGGATAATGAGAGAACAACAATTGTATCCCTATCATTATAGACAGGCCCAAGACATTTTACCACAAGACGGGCCCATGCGCAGACAGTTTTGTCAGTTGGTTTTAGACAGGTAAGCCGAAGATCCGATGTTTCTATCGAATATTATTTTTACCGATAAAGCTACCTTTACCAGAAGCGGTGTTTTTAATATGCACAATGAACATATGTGGACCGAAGAAAATCCTAATGCTCGGAAGGTAACCCATTATCAGCATTCATTTAAAATAAATGTTTGGGCTGCCACATTAGGAAATAATCTATTTGGATATCACATCATGCCTGGAAATTTAACCGGAGCAATGTAGCATCAATTTTTGTCTACTAGATTGTATGAATTTTTAGAGGATATTCCTTTGGTAAGACGAAGTTCCTTATGGTACATGCATGACGGCGCCCCTCCTCACTTCAACCGTCAATGTCGACAGTGGTTAAACGAGCACTTCCCAAATCGCTGGATTGACCGAGGAAATGATGCTGCCATAAATTGGCCTCCACGGTCACCAGACCTCAACCCAACGGATTTTAACGTGTGGGGTCAAATGAAACAAAAAGTGTATTTCGAAGCTGTTGACAATGAGGAACAGTTGCGTCAGCGTATAGAAAATGCATTTAATGAACTCAATGTGGAGCACAAACTATACCGGAACCTATTTTCTTTGGAAAACAGGTTACGTGCGTGCATTAGGGCAAACGGCGGACATTTTGATAGTTGAATCTAGTCTGTCTTCTTGACTAGGGCACATTTTCTGCTAAAGAAATTAAGATATTTGGTTAATTTGTTAAACTAAACTAAATAGTTTAAATCTGTTAAAATGGTACGTAAAAGTTTCAGCCGCTTACAATAGTTTAATAAATAATCTCATATGTATCTATTTTTTAGCTTTTATTTATATCACCATACTTTTATTTGTTACTATTAGGAGTGTTAAAAATATTTGACATTTCTGTTAACTGTCAGACTAGTTGTTTTCCACATGGCACACTGCAATTAATTTATTTCGCTATGTAATGAAAGTTGAATTTGGAGCACGTTGGGAATGATTGAAATCGATTTAACTGAAAAACGGCACATCCTAGTGAAATTTAACAAGAGAACCTTTTTTATGTTAAATACTTCAAATTTCAATATTTTCGAGTCAGGAACTAGAAAAAATTGACTACAAAAAAGATATGATTAAATTTGTCCCTGGGTCCCGCATTTTCTCACGCCCCTGTAGCAAATTTAGAAATGTATTTTATGAGACTTATTAAGCACGTCAAGGTTAATATCTCACCAAAATTTCGTGACTTAATGTCGAGCCGTTTAAATGTTACGCATTAAAAACTGTTTCCGAGGTTACCCCTTTAGGAGAGCGTAGCTCCCTTAGGAGCCGCCACTGACAAAAATTATACTAAAGTTTTCGTCATTTTTCGACTTGTTTTACAAGCTCAGAAATTTTGAATACTTATTTCAGTTACACCTTGTATATTTTGTTAAATTTCAGAATCATATCTCAGTAAGAGGGATATTTTGTTTATTAATATTATTACAATATGGCATTTTGGAGACCTTTTGAAACAGAACAAAACGAAATTTACATCAATATAATAAAATTCTTTGAGGACATTAATAATTAAAATATGCTGTTGGTCAGATGAACATATAGACATTTTCTACACATTATATACAAATTATAATTTTTACCTTTAGCAGAAAACTTTTTTAGGTACACCTATGATACTCATTAAATTTTATTACTAGACGTTTTTATACATATTCAACTGACTTCGGAAAGACTATACCTCCAGTATTACTTTTTGGAAAATCAAATGTCAGGTCTTAAATGTCAATCTTAAAACTTTCAAAAACTTTCAAATATCAACATTTATATTATTCCTAGTAGGCCAATCAATAGAGGTTTTGTTTGTGGCAAAAATACTAGTAGCAAACGGACTGTGCCATCATATAAAAGACAGTCTATATGCTTATGTGTTTCCTACTCCAATTTACCATTAATTAACAATATTCAATATTATATACCTATATATCCACTGCCCCTCATCTCTTAATCTTCCCCTACTAGGACCGCGTACGCGCGCTAGGCCGTTTTCGAGCATCTTTGGAGAAGTTTTTCACCTATTTCACATCATTTTATCGGAAAATTAGAATATACAAAAACAAAAAAATTCAAATTGCTATTGTGCCAAAACTAATGATCCGACAGCGCCTGTTTTGTGACACTTAAATTACATATAATTCATTACTTTTATGGGTCAGCTGTACAAATTATAAAATGGCGGGGTATGAATTTTTAAAAAGCGCTAAATTTTCCGAGTTTTCTTCGTTTCTAATTATCCANTAAATTTCAGAATCATATCTCAGTAAGAGGGATATTTTGTTTATTAATATTATTACAATATGGCATTTTGGAGACCTTTTGAAACAGAACAAAACGAAATTTACATCAATATAATAAAATTCTTTGAGGACATTAATAATTAAAATATGCTGTTGGTCAAATGAACATATAATAGACATTTTCTACACATATACAAATTATTATAATTTTTACCTTTAGCAGAAAACTTTTTTAGGGACACCTATGAAACTCATTAAATTTTATTACTAGACGTTTTTATACATATTCAACTGACTTCGGAAAGACTGTCAATCTTAAAACTTTCAAAAACTTTCAAATAACAACATTTATATTATTCCTAGTAGGTCAATCAATAGAGGTTTTGTTTGTGGCAAAAATACTAGTAGCAAACGGACTGTGCCATCATATAAAAGACAGTCTGTATGCTTATGTGTTTCCTACTCCAATTTACCATTAATTAACAATATTCAATATTATATACCTATATATCCACTGCCCCTCATCTCTTAATCTTCCCCTACTACTGGACCGCGTTCGCGCGCTAGGCCGTTTTCGAGCATCTTTGGAGGAATTTTTCACCTATTTCACATCATTTTATCGGAAAATTAGAATATACAAAAACAAAAAAATTCAAATTGCAATTGTGCCAAAACTAATGATCCGACAGCGCCTGCTTTGTGACACTAAAATTAAATATAATTCATTACTTTTATGCACGGTCAGCTGTACAAATTATAAAATGGCGGGGTATGAATTTTTAAAAAGCGCTAAATTTTCCGAGTTTTCTTTGTTTCTAATTATTCAATAGGATCGATCGACCTCTCGTTTTATTCACATTTCGATTCTCTACAAATTGTCTCATATAGCATTCAGATTGCTTCCTTATTTTAGGTTTTATTAGCAAAAAACTAAAAAAAAAAAAATGAATAATTTTTTGAATAAAAATGTTTATAAAAAATTTATTAATGGTAAATTGGAGTAGGAAACATATAAGCATATATCTACAGACTGGCTTTTGTATAATGGCACAGTCTATTTGCTACTACTATTTTTGTGACAAAATCACTGATTTAATGCTATTGATTGGTTTAGTTCACAAAAATCAGTCCTATAAAAATTTTTCGTCGTTTTCTAATATTTTAGAATCTGGCGCTAAGGCATTAGTAATAATTGTCTATTTTACTTTCAAAATGGGCCATCACCATGCAAATAGCATGATTTAGATCCAAACAGCCTTAAATCTTACTAAAAATCTGTATTTTCATTTTTTGAGTGGATTTGAAAACACCCTTTGGATCCTGAATAAATAAATTAATAATTGGAAATTACACAATAATTGGGAAAAACATAAAGACTAAATATTTAAAGTTTTTAAAATGTGCAATACACGTCTTGATTAACTTATTTATTTTACAGGCTCGATTTGTATTAGCTAGGGTTTTAATACAGGCAGGAATAGCTCAGGTAACCCAACCAAGTGAAGGTGACCTCTTGGTTACTCTGGATCGTTCTGCAATCAAAGGAGCTGGTAGAGCAGCCATCGGTCACTTTCTGTTGCAACTTCAGGTTTATAAAGCTACAGGAAATGTGGCAGAAGCGAAAAAACTTTATCATCATTATGCTGAAGTGTCGGAGCCTTGGTTAAGCTGGAGATCAATAGTATTAGCGAATAAACAACCTAGAAAAATGTTTGTACAACCTAATTTGGTTCTTGGAGAAGATTCTACAGTTAAATTAAAGTGTTATGAAGCTAGTTTGGAAGGACTTTTGCAGTCCTGGACTGATCGATTTATAAAACCTCAACCACTATATGATGCTTTACTGGAATTAACTAAAACTGATGCTCATCATTTTTAATACTTTTTCATATTGCCTTTAATATACAATCTAGGCTCTAAGCAGTACTATAAAGAATTTTTTAAATCTTGTTTCTTTAATTCTATAAAAAATTTGTAACTATAATTGCAATGAAATATTTAATTTTCTTACAAGCTTTGGTTATTAAATAAGCTTAATTACATTATAAATATATTTTCACAATATTAATTAATTATTTAATTGATTGAATATGATTTTATTATGAAACATAATTTAGATTTATTATCTACGATTTAAATGATTTTCAATAAAAGCTTTATACAAAAAAAAATAAAATAAAATGAAAAGGCTTTTTTTTGTAATAAAAATGTATATACAGTAAGACCCCACTTAACGCTGTTTCGTTTAGCACTGTTTCGGTTTAGCGCCCTTTTATTTCAACCCGGCGGTTCCCCGAAATTGCTCGCAGAACTACGGGGATTCCCCGAAATTGTGCGCAGCGCTAGGTTTCCAAATATATACATAACCTATCCGAAGAAATAGTTCAAGAAACAGCAGCTAGTCTTTCTAATGATGAGCTCAAGGAATTAACTGAGCAAGAAGAAAACAAAAATATTGATAGTAGTGATTTCGAAGAAGAGCAAAAAAAACTTTCGATGGCGTTTGTAAAAAGGAGTTTGACCACTATAACTGAAATTATGGACCAATTTGTTGAAAATGATCCAAATTTTGACAGGAGTTCAAAAGCAAGACGGGGTGTTATAGATGCTTTATCCACTTATCAACAACTTCTAACAGAACGCAAAAGGAAAACGCAAACTACATTAGATGCCTTCTTGACAAAAAGGCAGAAAATTGGAAACAGAATAGACTGAATGATCTGACTGACTTAGAATTTTATTTGTTTTTATAAGTAATATTCGTTTATATGTTTTTATTTTTGTAAGAAATAAATGTTTGGTTTTATTTTTATTAAAAAAAACATAATTATTAAATTTAATACCTAACCAATTTTCTATCCGTCTTCCCCTAACCCCATTATTTACATGTTAAGATAGCCTCGTTTAGCGCTGTTTCGCATTACGCTCTACTTTGATGGAACGCATCCTACGTGTTAAGCGGGGTCTTACTGTATTTCAAACTTGAGGGACGATGGATTATAAAAGCAGGACAAGTGAGAAAATTAAAAAAATATTGGTGATTCCAAATACATATATATATATATAGACATATTACGCATCATTACGAAGCCGAAAAAGACAGATTCATCCGATATTATGAAGCCCACTAGGTTAATACGAAGCCCTCCTTCGGGCTTCGTAAAGATAACCGTGTATAAAGTCAGAAATAGCTATTATATGATTATAGGGANAAAAAAACTCCTTTTCTAATTAACTCTCTTCGGTCGGGGTGTCTTCGGTCTGGGTGGCCTTATCAGCACAAGCTCGGTGTTCGGACTGCAAGTAGATGCAGCACTGAATCCCTCTGGATCTCCGGGGTACGGGACGCAGCGTTAATTACGGTATTCTCGGCTCGGTCATGAACGGCACAGGTTTCAAGTCTTTAACATGGATCCTGCTTACTCTCTTTCCGGTGTCGAATTTCAGGTTGTAAACTACCGGTGATACGACTTTGACCACGGTGTACGGTCCGGAATATTTCGGTGCTAGTTTTGCCGCAAAACCTTTAACCGCGGATGATAACGGATTTTCACGTTTCATAACCTGGGGTCTCCTACGTGACATCGCCAGTCACGTCGGCGGAGATTATAGTAATGACTTTGTGAGTTAAAGGCATGGGACAAATTTACTCGGACTAAGTCAAAAACTTCCTGCAGCTTTGATAGTCGGTTTCTTCGGATCTCGTGGTCGGCGTCGGACGGCTCCTCTTCTGGGACAGGTTCCTCGTTGCGGTACAATGCCTTCGGTACTTCCAACTCTCGGCCAAAGTTCAGGAAGGAGGGTGTGAATCCAGTGGATTCATGACGGGCACTGTTGATTGCAAACTTGAAATCGGCTAGATGTTGGTCCCAGTGGCGGTGATCCTGTTCACAGAATTGCGCTATCATGGTCTTGATAGTGCGGTTTGTCCTCTCGACAGGATTGGCTTGCGGAGTGTAGGGTGGAGTGAAACGGTGTCGTATGTCCAGGTCTCGTAATAAGGAACGGAATGACCGGCTGTCATATTGTGTTCCATTATCACTGATAATCTCTTTCGGGCATCCATAACGGCAAATGATATCCTCATGGAGGGCTTGCGTAACGTTACGGGCGGTGGCACTTCGGAGTGGTCGGAATTCAACCCATTTGGTAAAGCGGTCCTGGAATACGATCAAAAATCGGTTGCCCTTACTAGACCTCGGTAGTGGTCCAATTAAGTCGGTGCTAACGGTTTCCCAGGGCTGTCGGACTACGGATGGTTGCATTTTCCCCGGTGTTTGTTGTTGCGATGTTTTATAGCGCTGGCATTGTAGACAACTCCTAACATAACTGGTGACTTCTCGGAACATGCCAGGCCAATAATATCGCAGGGAAATTCGGGCAATTGTCTTGGCAATTCCCATGTGTCCTGCGGTTGGAACATCATGGTTTTCTTTCATCACGGTTGGTCTCATTGGCTTCGGTACACACAGTTTCCACGGGTCGCTGAGTTCCGGTTCGGTTAGATCTCTAGAATCCCAAATATGTCGGTATAGCCGGTCATTACGAATGCAGTAATCCGGGAATGCCTCGGGACTCTTTTCGACTTCTTCCTTTTTAAGCCGGTACCAAGAACACGTTGGTGCTCCCTCTAAAGCACATAGTTCGGCGGCACTTTCGGTGGAAGAATCGGATAGGGGTTGGCGAGATAGCGCATCAGCTACCCGGTTTAAAGCTCCTCTGCGGTACTGGATGTCGAAGTCATATTGTTGTAGATATATGCTCCATCTTGCTAGGCGGCCGGTCGGACTTTTGACGGAGTGAAGCCAACGGAGTGACTGGTGGTCGGTGATGACGGTAAAACGGTAGCCTTCCAGGTATGGCCTCATTTTTTCAATTCCCCACACGATGGCTAAACATTCCTTTTCGGTGGTGGAATAATTTTTCTCGGCATGGTTGAGGGTGCGGCTAGCATATGCCACAACATGTTCGGATCCCTCAACATTTTGGGTCAGGGCCACCCCTAGGCCAATGTCGGAAGCATCGGTCTGTAAACGGAACGGTATGTCAAAATCGGGGCAAGTCAAAATCGGGGCTTCGGTGAGACACTTCTTCAGAGCTGTAAAAGCTTGTTCTTGCTCTACAGTCCATTTCCACCGGTGGTTCTTCTTAAGTAGTCGTGTCAGTGGAGCGACTACTTCGGAAAATGACGGTACAAACCTACGATACCAGGAGGCTGTACCTAAGAAACGGCGGACATCTCGGACGTTCTTCGGGGTTGGAAACTTCTGTAGCAGGGAGAGTTCTCCCACCGGAGTATACGGGGTTGTCGGTGGTGCCCTATGAACTTCTTTATTGTTTAAGTAGATAGTATTACTTAATAAGTCCATCCTAAAATTGTTGCGGCTCAAAATATCCAGCCCAATTATCATATCGGATGTTAAGTCAGGTAGGTGATGTATTAATTGGGAAAACTTGGTTTTATTTATGGAAAACTTCAACTGGTATCCACCACGAACGGATACTCTTTGTCCATTGGCCATAACAGTAGTCGGTGTTACTATTTCTTGAAACGGTAGGCCTATTTCTGTGCAGTAGTCAGCTATCTTATTACTTATATAAGATAGCAAAGCTCCGGTATCTACAAGTGCGGAAAAATGTCTGTCATTTATTTTCACTTGTATGTGTGGGCGGTTATCGGCTCCGGTGATGGCTGCATTATGGGATGTTGAAGGCTGGTTGCATCCGCAGTCGCGAGACATCACACCATTTCGTCCACATCTGGAACAAAACAGTCTTGGCGGGGCTCGGCATTCGAAACGGTTGTGGCCAGGTTGACCACACCTCCAGCAAATGGTGCGTCGGTTCGTAGTGCTAGGCGACGGCGACGGTGTCGGTTGTCTAGGCTGAGTCTCGCGTGATTGTGGGGGTTGTTCACTAGGTCTCTCGGGGACAGATGCTGGCCTGGATCTATGTTCTTCAGCCGGTCTGGGTCTATATGGCGGACGGGGGTGGACTGGTTCTTGGTTTCTTGGAGGCGGCATCACTTTTCGGTCTGTATTATAACCTGGTAATGAATTGCGGTACTTGAGCTCTTTACTTAGCGTCTCAAATTCATCAATGCGAACTACCAAGTCGCTTGGGTTCGCGATGTCGCTCTGTCTTATATATTGCCGGTATTCTGGTAGCAAGTTTGCATATAACCGTCGCAAAGTTTTCTCTTGCAAAAATCCTCCGTGGCGGCGGATTAAGGTTTGCAACGCCACGATATATTCTCTTCCGGTTTCATTAGCGTTTTGCTTGCGCTGCTGTATCTGTTCCTCCAGGAAATCTTGATAATTTGCCGGTAGATAAAATAATTTGAAATCGGTTAGAAATTCTCCCCATGTGGTCCAGGAATCTCGGTTGTTTCGGTACCATGCCAGTGCATTGCCTTGAAAAACTTCAAACAGGGCTGGTAATAATTCAGCGGTGGAAATATTACTCTTCTCTTGCAGCTCATATAATTTTTCCAAAAATTCGGTGGCGTCGGTTTTCCCATTAAATTGTAGCTTCCAAGTGCGGACTTTATCGCATACATCCCCAATGTTGGAATTTTTAACGGCCCTCCGGGTGGAATGTATATGTGGCTGGAAATGCGGTGACTGTTCGGTATCGGGGTCGGAAGAAGCAGATGTGTTGGGTTGATTTTTCCCTGGCTTGGGATAACCCTCTCGGAAAAATGTCACTAATCTTTTCCTTAGTGTCGGTAGCGTCCCCTTCGTCGTTAAAGAGAATTTTTTCAGCTCTCTAACTAGCTCGTCTTTCTTGAGCGTATAAATCCAGCTCACTTTTGCTGGCTGCGGTTCGTCGTTACTGGAGTCGGCGGATCTTTCAGGTCTTCCTGGGGGTGGCAGGTTATTGCGGCCGGGATCGGATGGCATTCTAATAGCTTACTACAATTCAGCCAGACGTCTCAATAAAATAAAGTTGGTAACGGTAGATAGGGATAACCTATCTCGGAAACGGTAGCTCGGATTGCAATAAAAC